TCGAACACAACACAACATGAGCAAAATCTAATTGAGTTTCTGGAAATTTTGCGCAACATCGTAAAATTCTTTTCAAATCCCGAATTCAGCTGAGTTATCGATCAACTTTTTTTAAATATTTTGCTGAAATTTACCACTAGCTACAAGCCCTTTGACTCAGATAGACTTATAACTTTAAGAAGGCAGTGACGGAGCGTAAAAGGAGTCGGATTTTTGAACAAGCCCCAAATAAAACTCTTTAGGGTATCTTTTAATTAGTAAAAGGGAAAACAGCAGATTGTAGCAGTTTGAAAGGATAAGTAATGAGAGAAGAATACTGTATAAAAAAGTGAGAAAAATGTGTGATATAGTCAAAAGGCAAATAAATAAAAGATAATAAAAAATAACTGAAAAGAAATGCCTCGGTACTTCGAAACGAATACATTCCTATTCAGTACCACAGCTGAAACTCGTCAAAGCAACGATATTGGGGCTACCATGAATTTGAAGGAAAAATTCGGGGAAGAGCATGCAATTTGCTTTGCCTACAGCTGTTGGACATCGCCGATCAAGTGGTACCTCTTGAGCAGCAAGTATTCCTCAGCTGTGCATGAATATGAGTATCAAAGTCTGCATGGACAAAAATGGCTCAGCAGCACAGGTGCGCATGGCGTGTGCTGGCATCTCAGAAAGATTGCGGACTCAATATCGATGAAATTAGACGACTGAAACACTTCCAGTGCATGAAAAGTGTATAAAACAGACAGAAAGACATTTTGGTCGGTTGTTCGAAAAAATTAACACTCGAATGAAATTCGATACCTGCATTGTCACGGAAGGGCCAGCACACAGTGCAAACGACAGCTGCCAGGAAAACCAATCAACCAGTTGCCTGAGAGCTGTTGCGGTAAAATTCCGGGCTGTTTGTGTTGCGCGAAAAAATAAACTAATAAGTAGACGCCAGCACATTTTGGGCATTTTTGCAATAAGCTGCTGCTGGCTTATTATAACGAGTAAATGCAATCAAACACACAATTCCTTTGTTTTGCAAGATGGTTTTTTTTTTGACTTTTTCGTCAGATGATGGAATGTATCACAGTGAATGACGATTTTGATGTTAGATGATTCAAAAAAGATCGAACTGATTCCGGAATAAAAGATTTTAAAAGTAAGACCGTCAAATACTATAAGA